TCCCCCACCCCAGCGGACTCACCAGCAGGCAGACGCCGTCCTGACCCGGGATTCTGGGCTGGGTGTCCCAGACCTCCCAACTGCCCCCTGGATTTCTCCTCTGATCACACCTGGCTCCTTCCTCACCAGCTGCTGCCCGGGGCCCGTCCTCCACAGCCGCCTCTGTGCAAAATTAGGGACAATCACAGAACAGCCCCTCAGGGTTGTCCTGGTTCGCTCGGCAACCCTACAGCAGTGCTCGGTACGAAGTGCACGGTGACCGGTACCTCCCGTGGTTTGTCAGTCCACATGCCCTGGGATGGGGATTTGCAGCCTCAGGACCCAGGGTGGTCCCGGCCAAGGTCACGCAAGGGAGAGTGGAAGACCCTGACAGGCCGGGTGGGGTCGACCCCCTAAGTGGCACATGCGGGAACCACGGCGCCTGATGTGTGACACCGCAGACCCTGGGCCCCGTCAGGTACAGGTCCTGGGACGATGCCCCTCGTCCATGCAGATGGAGATAGAGCACAAGCCAATGTCAGTTTTCAGCGAATTCTGGCCTGAGGACTCGAGGGTCTGGCCACAGCAGGGGCACCGCATTCAGGGATCTGACATACCTGGGGCTCCCCAAGCATCCTGCACACGCAGCTGGCCGCCTTGACCCTTCCAGTCACTCAGACCCTCATGTGTGATTCCTTTCCTGGGCCCTTGATCCCTTTTCGGGACACTTTCTCCTAGGTGTCCGTCCGCTGCCCGGCTTCCTCTCTGGTCCGAGGATACATGTGCTCCGAAGGCCTTTTTTTATCCCTCTCCTGGGCCCTTCCCCTCCTAAATTGACTGGTGGAGAGATGGGGTCTCTAAGCCCTGCTTGGAATGAGGACCCTCCCTGTCCCCTGTTCTGACACCAGAGCTGTGACCTCTCCCTGCCCACCTCACAACTAAGCCTGATCTTTCCTAGGGCCAGTGGCCAACGTAATCACAGAGAGATGGGGCACCCAGCCTGCACCCCTGGTGAGTATCCCTTCAGCCCAGGCAGCACAGGGAGCCCCTCAACCTGCCCCCCAATGTCCACTCCTGCCAGTCACACCCTGGGGCCTCTGACCACGTCCCTGGGGCTTCAGCACAGGGGACCCCAACTGGCCATACTCCCTGACCTATGGAATCTAGGTCACGGCTCAGCACCTCCCAGACCAGCACCAGTGGGTCTCCCTGTGGGAGGTGCTCCTTCCCTGGTTCTCCGAGAGCCGATGACCCGGTCCCTCCTGGGAGGGTGGACCCTGGGTGGTAATTCCTGTTTCTGTCCCCAGGTCATGGTCCAGTCAGCAGCTCCACATCCCCGGTAAGCCCGCCCCCTCCCCACTGGGGTCTAGGTTGTGCGGGCGCAAGGCAGAGAACCAACGAATTCAGCAGCACAGCACACACCCTGCTTCCCCCAGAGTAGCCAGGACAAGGCAGGGCCCGTTCTGCCCAGGAATGGGACTGTCTTCAGGGACAGGACCACTCCCCACCCCGTCCTGAGTCTCTCCTGCCACTCTGAGCTGGCCCAAGGGGAACCCTGGAGTCTGGCCAAGGACAGAGCACTGGGAACATCAGCCAGGAGTCCTGGGCTAATAGGAGTGGGGCAGGGAGTTCAGGAGAGACCGGTCTGGGTCTGGGGTGTGGGTCAACAGGCTTGGCGAAAGCTGCTCAAGAGGCAGAACGGGTCACCCCTGCAGAGAAATGACTCTCCCTCTGTCCACTGACACCCATTCTCTCCCCCTGTTCAGAGCGCCCTACCCAGCCCGAGGACAGCCGTTCCCATCTACCAGGTGAGTGTGGGCAATGAATGTTCAGGTCCCCCAAGCCCAAGGGGGCTGAGGATCTGTCCCCAGCCTGCCCTGCCTGTGCTTTCAGGTTTGGGACACAGCAGGGCAAAAGGGCACAGGGGCTAGCGGGAGGAAGGAGGGGCCTGGGGCAGAAACCTGCCACCCAGCCAGGTTCCCGGAGAGGTGGACCCAGGACCTGAAAGTCACCCAGACATGTTCTGAGAAGCCTGCGGGGTTCAGAGGCCTCTTTTTCTTTTACAGGAGTTACAACACCCTGACAGGAGCATTTACTGCCAGATCGACAACAAAGGACAAGTGTCTTCTTAGTTTCCCCCTCCCCTGGGAGCTACTCCTTCCAGGGGCCTCCCTGAGACCCCAGACCCTGGGTGGGGTCAGGTGCCCCCGCCTGAGCCAGAGAGCCAGCTCTAAGCCCAGAGGATATTCAGGGACATGGACCCAGGGTCCGGGCCTTCCTGATTTCTGGAAGCCCTGACAGGCTGCCACGAACCCCGGATGGGCCAGGACAGAGGCCCCCATGTCCCAGGAAGTGGGGTTTCCCAGGGAAAGTATCCCGGGCCCTGACCCACCAGGGACAGCATGAGGGGATCTGATGAAACAGGACTCTTCCCCCTCCTTGGCCCTTTTTTGGTGAATGGTGATTTCTCTGAGCAGAAATTCACCTGAACCTCTGGGGCCCTTCTCTCCTGGGTCACACAGGGAAATGTTCCCTCTGAGTTCACCAAGCCCCCACCTTAGTCCCCTGAGATAGAGGAGGGGCGAGGGGTGTTGACGTGCTGGGACCACGTTAACTAGAAAAGGAGAGATCACCAGAGCTGTGGCCAAACTATGACAGCACTCAGCGGTCCTCACCCTGCTCAGGGACCAAGGCTGGAGACACCTCCAGTGTCTGCACATGTGCACAGGGTTCTCAGGAGCACAGGACATGGGGCCTCTGATGACCACACGAGGAGGAGCTTGGAAGGAGCAGCCATGGACAGGCACACATCCCAGGTGGGACCCCTTCATAGCCTTTTGGTGTCCTGAGCCCTTTGGTCCTCCTCACCCATCCCCGGTGGCCCTGACTGGTGGCCTTCACCAATAAACTTGCCCTGTCCCCAGATCCAAGATCCAGGGCACTGAGACCTGTCTGAAGCTTTCTCCAGCCTTCGGGTTGTCCTTCCTGCTGGGGTGACATAAAGCAGGTTGTCAGAGGAACGCCAGGGTTTGGGACCCAGACTTCATGCTCTGAGCATAGCCTTCCCGGACACTGCCCATGACGTCTAGCCCAGTACCTCCCAGCAGTGTCCACTTTTCTCCCTGAACGGGATCTTATCTTGAAACACACCTCCTCCCCATAAATAAGCATGCAGGTCAGAGGCAGAGGGCTTCCCCCACCTAACTCTCACCCAGGCTCCCATGGTGATGGGACAAAGTGTCTCTTCCACCTGGTCCACAGGCCTCGTCCTGCTGTCCCACCTGCAGCCTCCTCCACACACCTGGGCCAGCGACTCTCAGTCCTTCCCTGAGGCCCCCGGTTGGGTGCCCATGTGGATTCGCTCGCATCAAGGTGCCCTGTTCACACAAAAGCGGTCCAAGCACCAAGGCACCGCACCCACGTTTCACAGGTGGGTTTGCCATCACCCACTTGTTTCTTAGTCATGAGATGAGAGGTAAGAAAAACAAGCTGCAAAGTATCACGTCATTTTTAGCTCTGTGATGCTCCTATCGCAATGCACACTATGTTGGATTAGACAGGGTGACGCCTCTTGTTAGTTTCCTCTTGCTGCTCTAGCAAATTATTGTAAGCTTAGTGGTGGATGTCAACACAAATCAAGGTGCCCACCTGGCTGTCTCTTCTGGAGGCTTAGGAGAGAGTCTGTTTCCTTGTTTTTCAAGCTGTGCCGTTGGAGGCTGCCCACGTTCCATGGATGTGGCCCCTTCCTCCACCTTCAAAACCAGCAGTGCAACATCTTGAAGTCTCTCTGTGTCCTGTTTCCACATCACCTCTTCTTCTCTGGTTCTGCCTCTCCTGCCTCCCCCTGTCACTTATATAAGGACCCTTGTGGGTGCCTGGATGGCTCAGTGGGTTAGACTTCCAACTTTGGCTCACGTCGTGATCTCAGAAGGTCGAGCCCTGTGTTGGGCTCTGTGCTGACAGCTCAGAGCCTGGAGCCTGTGATTCTGTGTCTCCCTCTCTCCCTCTCCCTCTCTCTGTGTCAAAAATGAATAAACATTTTTTAAAAATTTAAGAAAAAAAGAAAGAACTCTTGGATTATATTGGCCCACCTGGGTAAACTACCATAATGTCACAATCACATGGTCCTTAACTTAATCTGCTAGTCCCTTTATCATTGAAATAATCACAGATTCTTGACACGAGGGATGTGGGAGTCTCTGAGAGGCCTCTGTTCTGTCTACTGCACCCCCAAGGCCATATTCACCATAATCGTTCATGACAAACTGCTGGTGGGCAGCCTGGACTTGGTCATCTGACCACGGAGTCACTGCCTGCAGGGATGTCCACAACACCATCACTGCCCTGAGCCAGTGATGAAGGCCAGTCCACACTCCCTGCAGCCTTCTCCACCTCTTCCTTGTTAGTAATGCTCCTTGTTAAGAATGCAAAGAGAGTGGACACAACTGGAAGATCACAGCTCCCAAGCCTTGGGAATAGTTCGGTGAGCATCAGCACCTTGGACAGGTGCCCCAGCCACCCTCCTCCCAGGGGTTGAGCAGGGAGGAGGCAAGAAAAAGAGACTCTGGAGAAGCTGCCTATTGCTTTTCTACATAAGAAAGATGTAATGAGGCAGAATGCTATCACGGGGATGAGCTGCTTCTGCTCTAATTTATCAGTCATAAGCGCTTTGCACATGTCTGGATGTTACTGTTGGCACGTTCATTACAATTCCCTGCGTGGCTGTTAGCTGCATCCAGAGGGTGGCCTTGGGGAGCCTGGGAGGCTGCTCCAGCCTCTTGGGGAACCTCCTGCCCCCCGAGATTCAGGCCACTGTCTTGCATACAATAGGGAAGGAATGGGGGCGCCTGGCTGGCTCAGTCAGTACAGAATGAGACCCTTGACCTCAGAGTCGTGAATTGGAGCATTGGGGGTAGAGTTTCCTCAGTAAAAGAAAAAAATGGAAAATAAAAGGAAGGAATGTTTCATGATTAGCTTCTGACCCTTAGTGCCTGACCTTGGAAACACACTCAACACCCGGCCTGGAGCACCCCCTAAGCACAGCATCCTGTTTCCAAGCCCCAGCTGAACCCCACAGGCAGCAGGGCTGAGCAGAGCCCCTGGGCTCTTCTCCAGCTCCCCCTCGCTGAGCCCTGTGCGTGGTGCCAGAGTCCTATGCCATCTGCCTGCCCTTCCCAGCAGAGCAAACATTTCACCCAGGGGACAAGGGGGGACCCGAAGATCTCCCAGGGGAGAGTCCAGCATCTGAGGGTTTCTGCATCTGCCTGTGACCCCTCAGGGGAAGAGATAAGACAAGGGCGCTCACAGTCACCCCCATCTTCCTTTTTCCCCATCCACATCCCACCTGCAGAACCAACTCTGATGCTACAGACCCAGTCTTGCCCTTCCATGGGCTCAGGTGCATTCTGTCCACTCACAGTGTCCAATATAAGGTCAGCTGGGTGCTCTGTCTCTATTATTTCTTTCTTTCTGCTTTTAGTTGGGTTCATTTTTGCTCTTATTTTTCTGGTTCTTCTAGTAGGAACTTACATTATTGATTTGAGATATATCCTTTCTTGTAATGTAAGCATTTTGTGCTAGAAATTCCCCTCTCAGTGTCGCATAAGCTGCATCCCATAGATACCCTCAGATACCTTTTCAGTCCGCATGTTTCCCTTCCACTTCTGGTACCCAGTGGCACCGAGGTTCCATCCTTTTTTTACGGAACAGATCTCGGGACTCTGCTCATTTTTCTGTCTCTTTCCTCTCTCTTTTTCAGGAGGAATAAATTCTATGGATTTGTCCTCCAGTTCATTGATTCTACCTTGTACATCGTCATGTTACTATGAAGTTCACCAGTGAGGATTTGGTTTGGTTTTGTTTAATTTTTTTTTGGTTTTGTTTTTTAAAATATTGGTTACTGTAGTTTTCAGTTTCATCATTTCTATGTTTCTTTTCTATTTTTCTTTTTTTTTATTTTTTTTAACTTTTTAAATTTATTTTTGGGACAGAGAGAGACAGAGCATGAACGGGGGAAGGGGCAGAGAGAGAGGGAGACACAGGATCGGAAACAGGCTCCAGGCTCCGAGCCATCAGCCCTGAGCCTGACGCGGGGCTCGAACTCACAGACCGTCTATTTTTCTTGAAGACAGAGAGAGGGAGTGCATGGGTGTGGGAGTGGAGGAGAGGCAGAGGGAGAGAGAGGGAGAGAGAGGGAGAGAGAGGGAGAATCCAAACAGGCTCTATGCCCAGGGTGGAGCTCGACTTGGGGCCTGATCTCACCACCCTGATATCATGACCTGAGCAGAAATCAAGACTTGGACACTTAACCAATTGAGTCACCCAGGTGCCCCTGTGTGGTTCCTTTTTATAACTTTCTTTTTTTGCTGTGGATTTCTTTTTTCTTTTCTTTTTTTTGGGGGGGCAGCCTTGACGCCAGTGGCACTTGAACTCGTAACCCCTTGATCAAGAGTCATGTGCTCTACTAACTGAGTCAGATAGGCGCCTCTCAATTTTGTTAAAGAATTTATTATCGGTTATTGAAGTGTTCTTTTAATGATATTTACTTGTTAACTCTTCGTTGGATAATTCCACAGTCATTGGGATTGGAGTCAGTAATGATCTTTTCTCAGTCAAATCGTGATTCTCCTGGCTCTTGGTATAATGAGTGATTTTGTTTTATTGTATCCTGCATATTTTGTTATTGGGTTAGTAGATTTGATAATATTTAAATCTTCATGAAAAATTTTTTTTATGTCTTTATTTTATTTTGAGAGACAGAGTGAGTGTGGGGGGAGGGGCAGAGAGAAGGAGACACAGAATCAGAAGCAGGTTCCAGGCTCTGAGCTGTCAGCACACAGCCCTACCCCGGGGCTCAAACTCAGGGCCAGCCCAAGTCCGACACACAAGGAACTGAGACACCAGGCGCCCCCCCCCCCTTTTTCTTATACTTTCAATATGTGGAGCTTCTTATATGTCAACTATAACACAATAAGGTCGCTAAAAATTGTATCTACATACGTGAAATATTACTTAAAGTATACTTTAAAAATACAGAACTCAAGCAGGAGTTTTCTTCCACATTTTCCGCATGGTCCAGCAGAGGGCGGCAGAGAAACCCCCGCAGCCTGGAGCCTTGGGTAGGGTGGGGGCGGAGGGGGGGGGGGCGCTGCTGATGCCCCTTGGCGCGCCCACTCCCCAGCAGGGTCTGAGCCTCCCAGCCTCACCCAGTCACAGTCCTCCTCGCTCCCCAGGCTCCCCACACTGACCTCCGTCAGCCCCTCCGGCCAGTCGGGTGTCTGCCCGCTGAGACAGGTCCCTCTGTAGGCAGCTCAGCCCCCCACACCCTCTGTCCTTCCAGGGGCAAAGGCCCACTCACACTTCCGGTCTCAGCCAAAAGATCACTTTGTCAGGGGTGCTGACGTGACCCCCAGGCCAGCTGAGACCCCGTTACTTGCTCCTGTCACACTAGACGCTTTCCCTTCACGGCTCTTTTCTCCATTTTATTGTATTTTATTTTCAATCTTATTTAAAAAAAATTTTTTTGATGTTCACTTAAGAGAAAGACAGCCGTGAGCAGGGGAGGGGCAGAGAGACAGGGAGACACAGACTCCAAAGCAGGCTCCAGGCTCTGAGCTGTCAGCACAGAACCTGATGCAGGGCTCGAACCCACGAACCATGAGATCAAGACCTGAGCCAAAGTGGAACACTTTACTCAACTGAGCCAACCAGACGCCCCTTTTTCCACTTTACAGAGAGAGACAGAGACAGAGAGAGAGAGAGAAAGTGGTAGAGAGGCAGAGGGAGAGAGAGAGAGAAAATCCACGCAGGCTCCACACTCAGCAGGCAGCCGACAAGAGGCTCAATCTCACCGCAGAGAGATCATGACCTGAGCCAAAATCAAGAGTCGGACATTAAATCAACTGAGCGACCGAGGCTCCCCACCTTCCCTCCATTTCAAGGGTGTCCTCAA